TTTTTTTTTTTTTTCCTTGACACAGAACCTCAAGCTTTCACCCTGGGTTTAGTGCTGTGGCTTCATAGCTCACAGTGACCTCCAACTCCAGGGCTTAAGCAATTCTTTTGCCTCAGCCTCCCAAGGAGTTGGGACTACAAGTGCCTGCCACAATGCCCAGCTATTTTCTGGTTATAGTTGTCATTGTTGTTTGGCAGGCTCAGGCTGGATTTGAACCGGCAAGCTCTGATGTATGTGGCTGGTGCCTTACCTGCTTAAGTTATAAGCGCTGAGCCAACTTTGACTATTTCTTAACAGAACAAGAAAGTGTTTATGTTACACCCAATTCTTCAATTTATGTTTATTTATTTACTTATTTTATTGTTGGGGATTAATTCAGCATGCACAGAACCTGGTTACATTTAATGCTTTTGCTAGATAAGGACCCTCTTATATTTGTGTCTCCCCCCAAAAGTTATATCACAGCCTCTAACCCTTCACCCCTCCCTCCTTCCCTTTCTCAGCTCTCCCCACACCCAACACTTCACCCCCCACTGTGTACTAGGACCTTAATTGTTCTCATATCAGAATTGAGTACACAGTATTCTTATTTCTCCATTCTTGTGATGCTTTACTAAGAATAATGTGTTTACATTTATATAAATACCTCCACAAAAGTAAAAATGTATGTTAATAAAATTAAACAACATACTTCATGGCCACAACAGGTTAACAGAGATGATCTAGAAAGGTGAGATCAATTCTTTAGATTATTCTCTACTATTTCTCAAATTACTCACTCTATTCATTCAAAAACCTTAAAAATTTACCCTTTCCCTTTTACTACTGGTTTTCTGAATTTACCTCATGACAAATGTGTTACTATTACACAGATCAAAAGGCTATTTCAAAACAACAAAAACATTGAAATAATGATACCAGAGGCATTCATTCACCTATGACTCCTGAGTACTTTCAAGTAAAGACTCAAAATTTCCAGTCCTCATACCCCAATAAGACTTCATTTTAACAAAAAATAGACAGATCTTTATAATTAGGCAAGATCCCGCCAAATGACCCCTGTCTTCCTTCCACTCGTCCTCCCCTTTCCACTCCACTCTCCCACCTCTCCCCTCCTTCTTTCTGGACTATATTTGGGATTTATGATTCATATGAAGGTGTACGTTAATATATATTGGCTTCATAATAATATTGAGTACATTGGATCTTTTTTTTTTCTTCCATCCTTGAGACACTTTACTAAGAAGAATATGTTCCAACTCCATCCAGGTAAACATAAGAGATGTAAACATGTAAAGTCTCCATCCTTTATGGCTGCATAGTATTCCATGGCATACATATATTCACAATTCATTAATCCATTCATGGGTTGATGGGCATTTGCACTGCTTCCACAACTTTGTGTATTATGAAATGGACTGCAATAAACATTCTGGTGCAAATGACTTTTTTGGAAAATGATTTTTGTTCTTCTGGGTAGATACTTAGTAATGGAATTGCAGGATAAAACCATAGGTCAACTTTTAGTTTCTTGAGAATTCTTGATATTTCTTTCCAAAAAGGCTGTATTGGTTTGCTATCCCACCTGCAGTGTAGAAGTGTTCCCTTCTCTCCCCATCCATGCCAACATCTGCTGTTTTGGCATTTTGTGATATGGGCTTATCTTATTGGAGATAGGTGATATCTCAAAGTTTGGTTTGCTTTTCTCTGATGATTAGGGACAATGAGCATTTTTTCATGCATTCATTGGCAATTCACCTGTCATCTTCAGAGAACTTTTGTTCAAGTCTCTTTCCCACTAAAAAATGGGTTGTTTATTCTTTTCTTATTGATTAATTTATTTTCTCTGTAGATTCTAGTTATCAGTCCTTTCTCAGAATCATAACCTGCAAAAATCTTCTTCCATTCCAAAGGCAGTCCATTTGCTTTACTTGCAGTGCCCTTATCTAAGCGAAAGGATTTTAGCTTCATCAAATCCCAGTGATATATTTTTGTTGTTGCATCAATTGTCAGGAAAGTCCTCCTCATAAAATATTTTCCTAGGCCAATAGCTTCAACTGTTTTCCCTGTCCTCTCTTCTAGTATTATTATAACTTGAAGTCTTAAATTCAAACTTTTTATCCAGTGAGAATCAAGTTTTCTTAGTGGTGAAATGGAGGGGTTCAGTTTCAGTCTTCTACATGTGGCTAGCCAGTTTTCCCAGGACCATTTGTTACAGAGAGAATCTTTTCCCCAATGCATATGTTTGTTAGACTTATCAAAGATCAAGTGACCGCATATGGCTGGGTTCATCTCTATATTCTCTGTTTTATTCCATATATTGACATTTCTATTTTTGTGCTGTTTTGGTCACTGCAGATTTATAATATAACCTTTAGTATGGTAGTGTGATGCTTCCAGATTTGTTTTTAAATTTTAAATGCCTTACCACAAAAAATAAGTAAGTGAGGTGATGGTTATGTTAATCAGTGTGATTTAAACATTCCATACTGTATATCAAATCATCATCACATTCTACCCCATGAATGTATACACTTATGATTTAATAAAAAATTTAAAAAATTGTGCAATTGGAAA